AGTCATGTGTTTGAGTCAGTAGTCATGTGTTTGAGTCAGTAGTCATGTGTTTGAGTCAGTAGTCATGTGTTTGAGTCAGTAGTCGTGTGTTTGAGTCAGTAGTCGTGTGTTTGAGTCAGTAGTCGTGTGTTTGAGTCAGTAGTCATGTGTTTGAGTCGGTAGTCATGCGTTTGAGTCAGCAGTCATGTGTTCGAGTCAGTAGTCATTTGTTTGAGTCAGTAGTCATGTGTTTGAGTCAGCAGTCATGTGTTTGAGTCAGCAGTCATGTGTTTGAGTCAGTAGTCATGCGTTTGAGTCAGTGGTCAGAGTTTGAGTCAGTAGTCATGCGTTTGAGTCAGTAGTCATGAGTTTGAGTCAGTAGTCATGCGTTTGAGTCAGTAGTCATGTGTTTGAGTCAGTAGTCATGTGTTTGAGTCAGTAGTCATGTGTTTGAGTCAGTAGTCATGAGTTTGAGTCAGTAGTCATGAGTTTGAGTCAGTAGTCGTGTGTTTGAGTCAGTAGTCATGAGTTTGAGTCAGTAGTCATGTGTTTGAGTCAGTAGTCATGTGTTTGAGTCAGTAGTCGTGTGTTTGAGTCAGTAGTCATGAGTTTGAGTCAGTAGTCATGTGTTTGAGTCAGTAGTCATGTGTTTGAGTCAGTAGTCATGAGTTTGAGTCAGTAGTCATGTGTTTGAGTCAGTAGTCATGTGTTTGAGTCAGTAGTCATGAGTTTGAGTCAGCAGTGTGACTCTCAGAGGTGACTCAGTAGAGGTTTCCGAGTCTCACCGTTCACTCTGTAGTTGCAGTTCCCCGTGTCACCGCAGGGCGGCAGCAGTGAGCTCGGCTGCAGCTCCTCGGATGATGCTCCGCGACGCTTCGCCTCCACTTCTGCATCAGAAAGGAGGAGAGAAGCCGCCACTTCCTGTGTGCTCTGCGTTCCGCTGACTGCAGCCTGCTTTCCGAGTCCGCACCGGGGAGAACCGAAGCTCCCGGTGGTGGCTGAGGGCTCGTAGGTGTCCGGGACCCCGCGCTGAAGCAGCAGGAGGCGCCATAAATGTCGATTGTTTACATCGGCGGGTCAAGCCTTCCTCTCTCCCCCGCCTCGCAGCGACTCCGCCGCAGATAGCGCCAGTGGAGCGGGGCTGATGGCCGCGGAGCTCGGCCCGGCCTTCATCGTCACCGCCGGTACCAGCACAGAGCTGTGAGCGGTTCTCCATCCCGGAGGAGCGGAGGAAGCAGACACGGGCCGCGGTGCACGGATGTGCTGACCCGGAGATGGCTGTCCTGAAGCTGGCTGAGCAGGTAGGAAGAGCCGCTAGCTGCTGCTAGCTTAGCCCGCAGCAATAATAATCATTTAAATGTATTCAGTTCATGTTTTACTGCGACAGAACTCCACCTGAGTCCAGACGAAACCGTAGACACAAACAGTTTGTTTCTGTGGAGCGTTGTCCCGCAAGTAGCTCGGGGCGCATGCGCAAACATGTCCCACAGAAGCTAAAACAATGTGAGCACTTTTGTGAAATAAATTACAATTTTAAACGTTGGTTCGTTCAGATGTCCATGATGGTTCCTTCTGAAGAAAGATTCATGAAATCTGTCATAAATATATATAAAGTAAGTACTGAAACTGATTATTGTATTTAATTTCTACCTGCTTAAGGTCAGGTGTAAAGATGGGCAGGGGTTCAGCGGTCTGTGAAAAGCTGTGTTTAAAAGAGTGGAACAGTTTTAAAATAAAGTTTATCAACAACAACAAATGGTTTAAATCATCATTTACAGATTAGAAGAATCTGTAGGAATGTCAGCTCAAAGGACGAGGCTGGAGGTCAATATTGGATGGCGGTGACGTTTGGGGCCCTCAGGGGCCACGGCATTAAACCAGGTCAGGTTCTGTTCTGGGCTCAGGAACTCTTCCACAGATCATTGTCTGTAAACACAGTTCATCCATAAATACAGCTTAAAGCTCTATCAGACAGAGAAGAAGCCAGATGTGGACAGTACACCATCCAGAACCTCAGCTGTCTCCTCTGGACCAGAGCTCGTTTCAGTTGGACTGAGGTGAAGAGAACTGATCTGAGGTCAGACCGGTCCAAATTTAAAATGATTTTTGTGAGCAACAGACACCACGTCCTCCGTACTAAAGAAGAGAGGGACCATCTGGCAAAAGCCTGCCTCTCTGCTGGTATGGGGGTGCATTACTGCTTATCGCACAGGTGTCTTACACATCTGGAAAGGCTCCATCAATGCAGAAAAGCATCTACAAGTTTTAAACATCTGCTCCCATCCAGACAACATCTTTAACTTTAAAGTTAAAAATTACCTCGTTTTTTTAAATAATAAAAAAGTGCTTTTTTTGTTTCCAACGTTTTATTGTAAATGAATTATGGGTTTATGAGATTTGCAATGCATTCTTTATTTATACTTTAAACATCACCCCAACTTTAACAGACTCTGGGTTTATTTTTATACGATATATACTTTAGTTTGTTTTCAACTTCTTTGTTAATTAACTAGCTGTGGTGAGTTAGCCCTTGGCAAACTGAATTATTGTACATTTTTATGGTTTAAAAATAAATAGAGACCACTGTATCTATTTTTAAGGAAATATATATATATATATATGATAATAATAAAATGTCTTTTTCTCCCATGAACTAACGAGCTAACAGCTAATTAGCCCAGTTTTCTTGTTTCGTTTTGTTCTCTGGGTTATCTTGAGTTGTGACTCCATCAAGGTTCTGAAGGAGATTGTTTGCTGTTATCTAAGTGGAAATGTTTCCCTCTGTTGGGTAAAGGGCTCTAAAGCTTCACCCTCCAGGGTCAACAGTAAAAAAATGTTCAAAATGCTGGTTTATTGTGTGTCAGCCATGTTGAAATGTGCTCCATTCCATCCAAAGAACCTTCAAAAACAGCCTCGACGATCTTGTTTGGATACGTTTGTCCCAAGGAGATCAACTTTATTAGCAGGAATGGCTGAGATGATTTTATTCCAAACCTCGGCGGGTGATAGGCATTCCTTTAAGGACGTCTAGGCCTTTTTTAAATTGTAAACCGTCAGATTAAAAACAATTCTTCAAAGTAAAAGTTGTTATTTGAACAAGTACTTTGTGCTCTTTCTGTGCTGACGTTTCTGGGCAGAATCCCCTGATTTCAGATCAGATCTGTGGTGAAGGAAGAGTCTCTGTGTGTGTTTAAAGCAGAACTGTACGACTTCCTGTTATTTTAAACGAGCTGATGCTGACTGATAACCGTCTCTGCTCACAACATGTTGGCTTAAACCAGAGGTGCCCAGATGTTTTCATCATGGAGCTCCTTTTAAAATGACCAGGTCAAAGTGATCTACCTGCTAGAATGCCCTGTTTACACAGAACAACCTCTGGAAACTTTAGTGTTTTTTCAATGTTTATTGAGGTAATAAACAAAAAATGAGTGGGTTTACATGAAAATGCTGTAGTTTCCATGTCAGTCGGGTTGCCAGTTAAGAAATGAAGAACTTTAGTACTGTGGCTTTAAAATGATAGTATTTTGACTCAAACGGTCATATGTGCTGAGTAAAGGTATTCTAAGATGAGGTGTGTGCTGTATTTGTTGAACATTTGTACATAAGACATTTTAAATTTATCTGGCAACCCAGATGCAGGCTCAGCTGCATTCATCGTGCATGCAGCGTCTGCATGACAGTTAGTCCAAACTGGTGAAGACACTAACGTCTTTTTGGAGTCTGGAGTTTATGAGTTTTGCTTCTACAAGCTGAAAAAGGCTGAGCAGCACAAAAACACTCTGCTCTCTGACATTTATTATAACTGTTGTTATTTATTATAACTGTTGTTATTTATTATAACTGTTGTTATTTATTATAACTGTTGTTATTTATTATAACTGTTGTTATATTTGTTATAACTGTTGTTATTTATTATAAGTGTTGTTATTTATTATAACAATTTTTATTTATTGTAACTGTTGTTATATTTATTGTAACTGTTGTTATTTATTATAACTTGTTATTTGTTATAACTGTTGTTATTTATTATAACTGTTTTTATTTATTATAACTGTTGTTATTTATTGTAACTGTTGTTATTTATTGTAACTGTTGTTATTTATTATAACTTGTTATTTGTTATAACTGTTGTTATTTATTATAAGTGTTGTTATTTATTATAACAATTTTTATTTATTGTAACTGTTGTTATATTTATTGTAACTGTTGTTATTTATTATAACTTGTTATTTGTTATAACTGTTGTTATTTATTATAACTGTTGTTATTTATTGTAACTGTTGTTATTTATTGTAACTGTTGTTATATTTATTGTAACTGTTGTTATTTATTATAAGCGTTGTTATATTTATTATAACTGTTGTTATTTATTGTAACTGTTGTTATTTATTGTAACTGTTGTTATTTATTGTAACTGTTGGTATTTATTGTAACTGTTGTTATTTATTATAACTGTTGTTATTTAATATAACAGTTTTTATTTATTATACCTGTTGTTATTTATTATAACTGTTGTTATTTATTATAACTGTTGTTA